GCACCGAAGATTGGGTTTTGTGTTTACCCCGGGGTATTGCATATTTTGTCATATGCAGAATGGCTATTAAATATGTGCATGACATGGTATGGAAATTTAAACAATAGATGGATGTCTTTAGAGAGTTATGGACATTTGCAATACCCTTCAGACTGGGGAGTTGTCAATGGTCAATGGGGAGTTCATTGTGCCCATTTGAATGGCAAGCATTTTGAATGGAACTTTTTTAAATGCATTCATTAAAGAGACACTTCAAAAAGTGTTGAACACAGCATATAATGGGTGCCTGTATTTAAAAAAATAGATATATATACTAAGTTACATTAAAAATGTTGGTTAACATAAGTGAACTAAAGAATTTGAGGTTTGAAAAGGATAATAATAACTATGCGGTATAGCTTTGTTAAACATAAATGCTACATAGAAAAGACAGACTTAAACACACATATAACAAATATAATCAATCTATTTGGTTTCTATTAAACCACAATTGGTAGGGTAAGCACTTGGTCTCTAGAGCTTAGTGTTCAAAGTATTGTTACGTTCAGCATTCATAACAACAAACAGCTTTGGAAAAAAAAACAAAAACGGAAAAATGCAATTGCATTTTTTTGCATTTCATTCAAAAAAAAAAGATCAATAAAAATCAAATAATACGAGAAAACTTGCTGCGACTGGGGGATCAATCACATTTATGCTAATTAAACTTACATAATATCGTTGCGGTACGTGGACATGGACAGTATGCCTTGACAAATTCAATTCAGATTTTGTTTTGACAAATTTCGTGTGTGCAGAAAAATGTAAAATGCTTAGATAAGCCGGCCAGATATCGATGCCGATATAGATATAACGCTTAGGAAATGTAGCAACTTTATTATGCAGCCGAGCGTTGTTGGGCAAATTGTGAGGGGTGGTCGGTTCCGTGGGGGTGGTGCACTCCATTGTAGCACAATGAACGGCTGTTTTGTGGTTCTTGCACTTTCGCTTTATTAATATGCACACCACCTACATTTGTGTTGCTCGCTTTTCTCGATCCGCGATTTCTCCACGCTGCAGTTCAGTGGCCAGCTATGAGGGATCGCCGGATCAGATCAGATCGGTTCGTATCGGATCGGTTCGAGATCCGTTAATTCCGTGCATGCTGCATAAAGCAGAAGGGAAATTGTTACGGGAAGACGATCTCCGATCACAGATCACCGTTCCGCGATCGATGCGGATGCTGGGACCATTGTTCTACTGCTGAATTGCAAATCAGGCCCATAGTTCTCACTGCTGCAATTTGTTGGGGCAGGCAGCAACAACAGTTCTTTGCGGGATGTTTTTCCGTTTTCCACACTGCAAAAAACGAAAAAAAACCGAGTTAATTTTCTTCTTTTGAAATTTTAATGAATTAACTTACGCGCATATTTATTTAAATTTAAGAAACTATTAGCAAAACAACATGTTAACAAGCTTATACTTCAATCTACAGAAAATTTTCTACGTATGATTTTCAATTACTAATATTCAATAAATCTAATTTTGATTTTAATAAATTAAATTCACTAAAGACTCATCTAATTTTTATGTTAGGAAAGAACTTAAATTGAATTTTTCTTTTATAAAAAAGAAGTGTGGTCAATCAAAATTCTATTGCAAAAAGCTATTCTAAATTTGTTTTTGCTTGGAAACTTATAAATTTTAAGGATTGGACTAATGCAGAATGTCATGAACTTTCCTATGGTTTCTTCGAGTGCGTGTTGAAGCTCCAGTTCAGTCAACCCGCCTGGTCAACGACTCCCCAGCCACTGGACACACGTGGGTGTGGAGCGTGGTGTCGTTGGCGTGGCCTTGTCGCTTCCCCCATCCAGGTTGAATGTCCCGTTGTGTCTTTGAACTCTCTGCCAGGGCTATGGCTATGTGTATATCCATGGGTCTGGCTATGGCATAATGCCCAGCGAAGTCACCAGACAGTCAGACGTCTCTGATGAATGAGACAACGAACCCGCTGGCCGCTGGCAGCAGCCGCCGAAAAAGCCGCAAGATAAATCAATAAATAAGCAAATACCAGCCAAAATCGAAATATACCTGACGCGATCTTCGCATGCAAATCTGGAGTGGTGGGGCTCTCCCTCGACGGCCAATAATTAAAATTACAAATTCGCCCTCGCCCAGCAGCATTGGGCAGAAGGAAGACGCCTCTTCTGGCTCCGTCAATTAGCATCGCTGGGCTAGGTTCTTTACCGGATTGATATATGCATAAAGACGGCTACGTGACTTGAATGAAAGCGCTCCCCCGATGACAAAATCCTTGATCGGAGCGTTCATTGATCTCCGCTCTTGCATCCATCGCCAGAGGCTGTTGCCAAGTCGGAGCTCCAAAGTTGCAGCCACCACGAAAAAATGCTGGGTATTCTGGCGATCTTCCAATTGTGGCAGGGAACAGTGGCTTGGAAATGAATCTAAAACGATTAGAACGTATTAGGTGTTGAATAATATTTTCTGGAACACAAAATTTTAATATAACTTTTGTATTTGTTGGTATATATGTAATATGTTTATCTAAGTAAACCACATTTGCTTCGCACTTTAAATGAAAAATTAAATCAATTTTATAAAGCAAAGCAAATAAAAAAGCTAATTTAGGTGGGTTCAAAGAGGAAAATGTCTTATTCACTAGAAAAACAACTTACAATTAAAGTTACAAGGACAAAAGAATTCTGATCCTCTACCAGCCACATCAAGAAATAGTTTCCCCTCCAAAGACCATCTTCCCACAGTGCAGTCGTGCTGATAAATAAATTCTGACATTAACTTGCCATATATTTTCATTATGTGCGACACAGAAAGTCGTGTTTTATTTCAACACAAGTGGATTTTAATAATAAAATGTGTCTAATTTGGTACCCACTCGGAGTGGACAAGAAAAGAAAAGAAGGAGAAACCTGATTGCAGCAGCGCCTTTTTATATTTATTTTTATTTAGCCAGCCCACCAGTGGACCGACCATGGGATGTGATGTGGTTGGCCCGCTGCACTTTCCTCGGCGGCTTCCTTCCCGGCTTTATGTGGTACGTGCGAGGCGTCAATGCTTCATTTCCCCTGTCATCTTAAGTTGATTGCAAGTTACGACCGTGTTGACACCCTACCTGACTCGCTCCTCCGCCCGGGTAACGGTAATTGCGGCAGTTGCACATGCGTGTGCCGGGGTTATATGCCCCGCGATTATGCTCGCACCTCGAGTACTTCGGGATCCGATTCGGGGTTAATTCCCGGCCTACTCCTGGCCATGTGCGGGCGGCTTATTAATCAGAGCGTTCGTTGCACAACGCTCCTGCCACGAGTCTTTCGGGCATGATTCATGCTTAATTGGCTCCAGAAAGCCACACTGCAAAATATACTACTTATTTAGAAAGATACCTATGTATCTATGACCATTGAATACGTATTTCTATCTAGAAGTAAATAAATTTATAATAATAATACCATTAGTTTAGATTTCTAAGAAATACATTTCTCTTAATAATTTTCGTATTTTTATGTTTATAAAATATGTCAAAATTTATTTGAAATACAGTAAGAAGCACTTAAATTGTTTTTATTGAAGGAATTTTAATATCCCACGATTTTTTAAAAATAAATGTACCTACTTTTCCCTTTCCAATGTCCCGCTCAGTAACTAATTTATTTAATTAAAATGTATTACAAATTATAAACTATTTGATTTAAATTTTAGCTAAGATGTAAGAGTTTGGGATAACTTTTCTAAGTGCCCCAACCCGAAAGCGAAACCGAATAGCGAATCCAAACCCGAAACCTATCCAGCTGTAAGCCGTGCAAATCTCACCCAAGTTGTCAATTTCACAGACAACACATTTCAATCAAACTTCGCCGTGCCATAAATAAGCCGCCAAGTGGACCGATCCAAAAACCTGGTTCCACTCCAATCTTTTAAGTCTCCCTCGCTTAAATTACACATTGTACTTGTGGTTGCTTATATACCGGCAATGGTTGTTGTTGGCGAGCACGCCTAACGTTCACATTTTTCCACATGAAATTATGAAGTTTCCATGGCAATTAATACGCATGCGCAGAGTTGCGAGTCCCAAGCTGCCATTCCAGGCGGGTGTTGTCGTCCGTCTCCGGCAAGCTCGCATGTCAATTTGATGGCAATTAACTTGGCTCCGCCACTGGCACCGGCTTTTGTTTTAATAATAAATTTAATGAGCTGCCAAAAATGGTTGCAAATTTACGTGGCAATTAGCGGGCTAAATGACGGCGACACTTGGCCAAAGAGATCGTGCCTGGGCGGAAAGCTGCGACTCCAAATGTCCAACTGTCCGTCTGCCGCTGCTCCATTTTGCTAATGAGCGCTGCGATTTTACTCGTATCTTTGGGGCTTGGCTAAGAGGTGGTGCTCAGTGTTCAGTGCTCAGTGGTTTTGTGTGCTATGTAGTGCGAAGGCATTTGGAGGGTGTGGTTGCTTAGATTTTTGGCGGTAGGTCAGTTGGTAGCTGCAAGGTGACAATGTTGCAAGTAGCTAAATAGCTAACTGTAGTGATCGTCCAACGAGGCTCGCGATCTGCTTGGTAATTTTCAAGATACAGCTCATTAAACAGATTTTTCTTTGCACATGTATGTTCAGTAAGAACAAAATTATGGTAAACATAACAATATATATTTTCACATAACTCTTTATTTTAAATATTTACTCCTTAGCAGAAAAAATAACTATTCTAACAAAGCTCATCTTTAAAACAACAAAATATTACAAAATGTTAAAAGAAAAATTCTTTTGAAACCCATCAATTAAAATAGAAATGTATAATTTTTGAGAAGTATGTACCCTTAGCATTTAAATTTAATTTGTAAAGAAATCGATAAATATAAAGACAATTTTATTATTAAATTATTTTATTTTGAGGCTCATCAAGTAATTCTTAAGATAGAATATTGTATTATTTTATTACCAGGATAATTAAAAATCACCATCACAGCCAATTAAATAAAACGCTTACCTCTTTTTAAGAAAAATTCTTATTTGATTTAAAATATGTTTACATCTTTGCTTGTATAAAACATAAGACAGCCACGAAACAAATTGAAGCGCCACTGAGTCCCCTGGGGAATGGGTGAAGACTGGCGATTCATATTTGTTTACGGGCTACTCATCTGCGGGTGGTAGCCATACATCTCGTACAACTCCTCCTTGGTCTGTGTCCGCTCCAGCTGCTCGGGATCCAGTTGAAAGTGACGCGGCAGGATCTTCCACTGGCACATGTTGAAGTAGTTGTACTCGCCGGACTCCTGGAAGCCCCTATACGAGTAGTTGGGATTGTCCGGCTGCCGCCTGATCCAAACACGCAGGTGCTTGTGGTAGCGCCAACCCCGTTCCGCCAGTTCCGCTGCTGCGAGCATCTGCATCATGTCGCCGGTAAATGTGTAAAAGAAGTAGAATAGCAACTCCACCTGCATCTGCCCTGTTTTGGGCTGCTGCAGCCCCAACTTTCCAGCCAGACGATAGTTCAATGGCACATGGTAGCCATCACTTGCTCCGGGAAAGGAGGAGCTGCTGCCCTCTCCGGTCTCATCATCGTTAAATATCTGCGGCATTAGTAGGGGATTTCGCTGCATCGATCCCAGTTTGCTGGCCAATCCTAGCATACCAAAGCATCCCTCTACGGTGGAGCGCGAAGAATTAGCATTCATATTCCACATCCTATCATAAAGAGGTGATTCCAGCTCGAAGTTGACTCCACCCAGTGGCATGCCCGTACTGTTGGTCTTCAGGCGGGCATAGATTTTGACATTCTCAAAGCCGGGAGGAGGATTGATACCAGCGTTACACAGAGTAGACTTCTTGTAGCCGTTACTCAAGGCCCTTTGTCTCACGCCCTCTTGCAGGAACTGCTTGCCAAAGATCAGGCTCACTTCGAAATGGGACGGATTGGTGAGATAGCCGTACAGCTGCGGCAGATACTCTATTTCCCGGGACTTGTTCTGGTCCTGGGTTTTATTAAGGAAGTCCTCGGTACTGCAGTTCGTATCGCTGGACATGACAATTTCCCTGAATTTGGTAAATTCTTCCTGTTCCCCATCGCTCATCAAGGCCGTCCAGTCGTCGGGAACCGCCGAATTCGGATTGGATGGTAGTCGCGTAGTGCCTGGCAGAGCTGGAAAATCCTCCCGGAAGATACTGAACTCCGGCGGAGTGGGCTGAGGCGGAGGAGTTGGCGTAGGCATCTCCAATTTGGGCTTATTCTTCACCACATCCACATATAAGAACGGATATCCATTGGTGGGCGATGAAGATTCCGGCGAGGATAATGACGATTGGTAAGGAGGTGGCGGACTGGACGAATTATCCTTCTCCCGCTTGTCATCCAAGATTTTGGCAACGTGGCGGTTCATCGTGTACTTAGGATTTGTATTTCCAACTTACAACTTTTTCTGAAATTTCGATCCAGAAATTGGGATAAATAAAGCACGTGATTGATGACAAAAGTCTCTTGACAATACTGCTAGCCAAATTGACAAAAATGCTAACCAACACTGGTTGCCCCCAAAAAAAAGGAAGCTTCGATAAAACAATCGATAACCTGTTTTAGTTGCTTTTAGTTTCTTGTGAAGAAAAGTTCGGAATAAGATATTGTTAATAATACAATGTGGTGGTGTATACGACGAATTGTTTATTGTGCTTATCTTATGATAAGATGTTTACTTATGTTTACCTAACTTACAGGTATTGTGGAGCATTTGTTAATATTACTTTACATTTTTTGATAACGCACTTGACGCCTTAAAATAATTCTTCAAATTACAATTGCCTAACAATAAAATAGTTCAAATTATAGGCTGAAATGTTTAAAGGAAGTTTAAATAAGTTGAAAACATTACACACATATGTATTTTAGAGTGTTAAATTAGTTTTAAATTGGTTTATTTGGGCAATAGATTCAGTGCTCCTTCGTCAACCGCATAGTGGGTAAAAACCTTTTATTTCTGGGTAAAAAACGAAATCGATTGTATATAATTCATAAAAAAATACAATTTTATGAAAAACTAATATTCCTGCGGAAAGCGTAAAATTAAAGCAAAACCTGAATTTTTGGATTTAATGATAAATTAATGTCAGCCATTGTGTGGGTGCCACGGAAATTGCCATAAAGCAATTTAAAAGCCGAAGTCATAAATTCAAGCGAATCCACCTGCAGCTGGTCAAGAAAATATAAGAAAAAAAAGTAAAAACGGTAAAAAAAAATACAAAAAAAATAGAAGCTAAGACGCACAAAAAAGACTCTTCCATAAATAAAAGAAAAAATAACTGGTTGGGGAGTATAACCCATTAACTTAAAATGACACCCGACTAACATAAATCTCGTTCTTTGGCCAGGCAAATGTCTCTTGGAATTGACAAAGGGAAAGGCCGCTAAAGAAGAGAAGAAGGAGGAGCAATGAAGTCCACGAAAAGGCGGAGGAAGATCAGGCTAATAGCCCAAGTGCTCCTGCCCGCAAAAAGTTGAGGAGTATATGGTCATTTGCCTGCCGCAAATCAACGAACTTGTCCAGCGGCCACAAAAGTCACAACACTCGCGGAATCAGGTGCATGGCTCCCACTGCTCCTTACCTGTGCCCCGCAAATTAAGCACAAATAATATAAAAATACAATAACGTAGAATCGCAGCCGCTGGCCAAGAAAAATGATACACATAAGCACGGCCAAGTGCAGGATCAGCACACAAAAAACGAAGAGTTGTAGAGAAATTTCAAAATCGATGCTCGTAATGCCCTATAAAATCAGAAAACAAAACTTTATTAATATTATTCTGATCTAAAACGTCCATTAACTTAATAGAGAAAATCCCGGAACTTTAAACCAAAAACTTAATTTTGATTTTGTTCTGATAAGTGACTTCTACAAAAAAGATTGTTTATATTTACATAGCTTCGAAAAAACCTATTTTTAAGCACTTAATCTCTGAAAAACAATTCGAATTTTCGAAGATATCAACGATATTTTCATATTTGTAGCCAAAAACATACGATTCCTTATCCAGAATCTATTTGAAATACCCCCAAAAAAGGGTATAGCCAGCTCCCAGGACTGCGACTAACGAAGCCAAGAAAAGCCATCACGAACTGCGGGCAGAAGCTGCTCCGGCCACATAAACTACAATAAATCATACTCATGTTGCTGGGGACAGCGACAAAAGCTGCTTGGTCCGCTCCACGATCCGCAGTCCACTGGCCCCGATCACCAAGCAGTTGGCCAAGATGGGTATGGGTCAGGCCAATTGCGAAGCCATTAAATCGCCAGGGCCAGGGCCAGATCAAGTGGAGTTCTAGGCCGCAACGCTGATCGCCGTGAGGTGTCAACTGGAGGTGATCTTAAATTGGATTTTGGCTTTCATTTGATTGCGGAATACTCACTTCATATATTTCAGAATATTACCCTCCCGCACTTGACCTGCCACTTGGTCACTCCTTGAGCTAAACTTTCTAGCTTACCAAGTCATTAATTTTCTTCACCTGAATGTACGTTTGTGGGTGAAATAATAGCAAACTATAAATGCGGAATAAATTCAAATATATTCACGTCAATAATTTAATTTACCTTTTTTCTAATACTTTTAAATAAAAGTTTACTCTCTTGCGATTACTCAAAAAACATCTTCTTATTCTAAAAGAAACTTATTGTATAAGTTTTTTATTTAAAAAAAAATGCTGATTTTAATTTATTGAAACGTCTTTATTTGATTAAGTTTTGGCTTCGGGTTAAAATTACTTTTTTTAAATAAGTTATTAATATTAATATTAATTGTAATTTAACATGTTTAATTGTCCTCTAATGAAGGTAAGTTTTATCATTTTAAGAGGCCAAAAACTAGACCCATTATTCTTAACCCCACTGTTTATTTGCAGAGTGAACAAACCGCACTTGGGATCGGGACCTGTTGGTCGCCATAAAGGCGTGCATTATGGAAATTAGCATCGGCTTAAGTGACGCCCCATTCGTCGACGCAAATGACCCTGCTCCGAGCTCCGAGCTCCACCGGGTGCGTGCCGTCATTGCGCCTAATGACCAGCGGGAGCAGCACTTGTAGTTGCATCTAAGACATCACTAAGCACCGAAAGAAGCTCTGGGAGCAGTCATCCCACCGCCTGGTGAGTTTTACGAGCTCATTGGAACTGCTGCTCTTCCCGGGGAGGAGCCGAAACATTTGTACTCATAGTATTCCCCGCCCCAGTGAGCTTAGTGGCAGGCGGGCCATTAACCAAAGCGTTCAGCATAATGGCCATATGCTTATGAGGTTCTTGGCAGTCTTTAAAAATTATTCACAATAGGCGTAGATCACTCTTGGGACTTAGCTTGTCTTTGTAGGCGTTCGCTTAGCCAAGTTTTTTTTATTTACTGGCACCAATCTGTATTTGCAGTCTCAATGTTGCACAATTTGTTGACAGAATTTTTCATTGCTTTTATAAAAATATGTACTACTTTTAAATTTTAATGTATATTCATTTTTATGTCAAGGTAATGAGTAGTACATAAACTATAAGTTGATTAAAAATAGTTTAATTGCTAATTAAATCGTAGATTATGGGACTTAATGTGTAAATGTAACTGAAAGTATCAAAGTTAATTACCTTGAAAATTAACATTTAAATCAGATTTCTCTCCTCTACTTCATTAATTAGCTACCTTCATGCTTACATGCTAGGCTAGCTTTATGAACTAGCCATGGGCAAAGAAATTATGGGCCATCATAAACATTGGCATGCAGTTGGCTCGCCAACAATTGGCATTTGCAATCAGGAGCAACTGCAGCACGCACTGCCGGCAAGTGAATGGCAGGCGGCAATGGCCACGACAGGTAGTCCCCATTGGGAGCTGGACTGAAGTTGGCCAACGTAGGTGGCACTCTGGACACTTGGAATGCCCGATGTGGAGTGTGGGGGACACTCACTAACTGGCCAAGTGTCAAACTTGCCAAATTGAAAACGAAGTTACGATGCAATCGCCGATTTGTTTATGCTGCCGTTTTGAACCGAACGCAATTATATTTATTTTTACTTTTTATTTTCGCTGTAGTTTAAATTTAATGAAATATTACGCGCACGTGTCAGCGGAGCGATAAAATTTATTTACGCAGCATTGCGGGTCAAGTGAAAGCACATTTTTCTGCAGGCCTTCGGACCTTCAAATTGAATTTACGCTGGGATTTCGGTCGAGTGGCGAATTAAAAATCGAAACCGAAATCGAAATGTAAACCTGACTTAAAAATGGGCGTAGGGCAGTCGCATTGACACGCGGCCATATTTTAAATGTCAACAGGCTGGGGGAGATCGGATCGGATGGGATCCCGATTCCGAATCCGATTCCGATCCACAAGCCAAGGATGGGGGCAATCCCCCTTGTCCCTGCCCAGTCCCATCAGAAATTCAATAAAATACCATTAAATTACAAAATGAAGACAATTCATTTTTCTTGTTTTCCTTATTTTCGATTCCCTTCGATGCGATTGCATTTTGTTTCTTTAAGCAGGAGCGTTTACTGTCGCTTTGCGGTTATAAGCAATAAAGTATTAAAATCCTTCTGGCTTATAAATGTTGAAAGCGACATTTATCGTAATATTTTATGAAATCAGTGAATATTCGGTGAACGTTGCAACTTGCAATTCAACTTAGTTGCCCCTGGAAATTGACTTGCTGGGTATTTGGGTTCTATTGTTCGGCCATAAAACTGGAATGATGGATGTTAGTTGGCCCAATGTTGAATCCGCAATTGAGGCTTAATTTATCTTGATGTACTTGCTGGTCTCAGCGGGTTGACAAGGTCAAAGATTATGGTTTCGATTTGCTGGTGATGTATGGGAATTGCTTTGTTGAATGGTCTGAATGGTTTTATATAGAGACATATTTTTAAGATTTCATTTTGGGGAAGCAGGTAGGTTAAACCATAAACATCTTAGAACAGAACAATTTTATAAATGATTAAATATATTGATTATAAATAGACCATTTAATATTATAAAATATTGTTGAATGACCCAATTGTTTTGTTTGCATTTTACAGAGCATTCCAAAGTAATTACACCGAATCCTCCTGCACAGGGATCATCATTCCAGCCGCAATCGAATACCAGCGCCGAGGAAAAGGAAAGGAACGGAATCGGGCCAAGAGTAATGGCCAAGGGTTGGCCAGGGCAACGCCCATCACATACTACCGAATCGAATCCGGGGCTATTTTTCTTATTGCCTTCAACTTTGCACTGCCAAAAAATACGTACCATGGCCCAAAACAAAAAAAAAAAGCAAAACAAGTCAGAAAAAAACGTAAATACTGCGAGCAAGGCGCACTTTCAATTAATCAAGGAAATTAATTAAGGCCCGTGGATGGATGGTGGTGCAAACCCCGGTTCAGTGACCAGCCAGCGGGCAGCACGCTCACCGATTGCAACATAATTTTCATTTGGCTCAGCATGCGTTTTCATCGTCGCGGTTATCATTTGGACATTTGGACTGGAACTGGGACCTGGACTGGGACTCGGATTCAGATTCGTATTGGAGCTGGGCCTCAGCCTGGTCAATTAGCACGCATGTAGCTCGCCGGGCGCTGGCGGGGCGATAATTAAACGCAGGTCGCTGGAGTTCGGTTGCCAATCCGCTGGTGACAATTGGCCACGATTTATGCCCGGCCCGATTGCGCAACATTTTCCAAATAAATTTTCGCGCCTAATCGCCACATGCTGCGCTCGGCCGCCTGGGTTAATGGGTAATCGGAGCGGTCCACTAGATCTCCGAGTGGTAGTAGCTCAGCACGATCAACACGTCCGCGGCAACATCTGTGAAGGATCGATCGGGATGAGAAGGAAGTGGTGAGGAACAGACCATCACTTCAAGGGAACACTCACAGCCAACCATCAGGAACGCATAGGTTACCAGTAAGAAGTTGGACCTACCAAGGGAGGCAGACAGCATGTGACTGATCATTCGAAAAATCAGGCTCCCAAGACAAGTCACCAGGTGCACTGGGAGCAACTTTGGATTTGCCTGGAAAAGGATACTATACTCAGATAAAAAGCAAGTATTTTTATTTATTATTACTTTTAAAAAATTGGTTTCAAGTTCGGAAAAGTTATTTATCCTAAGCTGCATTTAGATGCACATTTTTATCGCTGCTGAATTAATTTTTAAGGTACAAAAAAATGCATGTTCGATGGAACTTTTAAAAAGTCATTCAATTCTAAATGCATTGGACAATCAGTTCTCAATTTCTTACCCGAAAGATTGCAGTCATTAGAATCATCTCTGAAAAGATATTCCAGATGGTGGAAATTATCATGATTACCAACATTTCATAGCAGAAATAATCTTTAGTATATATAGTTAATGCTGTATCAGTTATATCTACAATTATGTTTGAACATGCAACTACCAGGGCACCGGTTCTTAAACTAAAACAATAGCAAAACTTTTTAAACAATGGCATCCTGAAATGAATATGAAAAGGGTTATCGAGTGAGTTTTACTTACAACTTGGTGCTTACGTGACAATTCTGACGTCCTCTTGTTGCAATCTCTACCAAGACAGTTTAGCTCCATTTCTGTCGTCTGGTATTCGAGTTCACTACAACATTTGAAAGTTTTTCGAAAGGAACACTCTCGATCAATTATTGTAAAAAAGAAATAGATAAGTTCGTGTAAAACCGGGACTTTCTTTAGTGTCTTGTGTACATATGCTTTAATTTTATGTAAAAATGACTTTTGACATCATTTTGAAAGCTGGGTTTTAAAACCAAATCGTCAACGATCATAAAAAGAGTTATAAAATAGTAAGATAATGCAAAATTAACTGCCGACATTTCAAATATTAAACTATCATTGTGTTTCACACACTCTATTGTTTCAATAAACCTATAATTTTAAATTAATAAAGATAAAAAAAGATTGCTATATCGTTATAAAGAACTAATATAAGAATGAGAAACAAAAAGAAAAGCTTTTCTACCTAAATTACTATATTGGCAATGAATTTTTGCATAAGATCAGACAGATCTAAAAGACTTAAATCTGACTCCCTCAACTTTTCGAATCCAAAATGACATCAAACATAACATATAAACAGATTAAGTAATATATAATAGTTTGGCCCCCAGTTTGTATCAAAATTAGAAGTATCAGAAAAAACATCAGTAAGATGTTTCCCGTGGAACCTGGACGTAGCCAGCGTCTTGTACCTCTTTCAACGGATCTGATCCAGGACATAAAGGCCCACGGAAATGAGTATCAATCAGCAGCCAACAATTATCGAGAGGTAGAGGGTATGGGCGATAGCAGGATAGCTGGACGAGCAGCTGCATCCACTTGCCAGCAACCCATTCCTTCGGATATTAGGCGGCGCATTGCTGGACTTGCCGAAGGTCCCATTGTGGTAACTCCTACAGTATCGATGACTTTCCTCTCCAAATCCAGACCAAGGCCACAAAAGAACACTTCAACTGTCAAGGAGGAAAAGGCGGTGGCTAGAGAATCCCGGATGGAGCTTTGGGTCAGGGATGCTAAGGTTCAAGCACTCGCCCAAAGAGTACGACTATCCTTTGCACCGGATTACGAAGGCAAGGAAAAGCTATTGAAGCAACCGTCGAACGCCATGTCCCTCCAATTAAAGGACAAGCTGACGCCCAGTATGGTTCTGACCAGTCTAAAGACTCACTTGGACACCTTGGCGGATGGCGTGCGCTCTCTGCAGTCCTGGATTCCCATCCTGATCGATCAGAATACGCAGCTCAGGAAGGGGCAGTTCCCGGCACTTGATGGCCCAAAATCTACTGTGTCGCTCTGCGTCAAAACCAGCTCTGATGTGAGCTTCCTTTCCTGTTCCTCGGATGAGTCGAACACCTCCTTAGAGTTGGATGTGCCGGCTAAGAAGTCGGGAAAGGAACGCGATAGCAGTAGGGAACTCTACTATGGCATGCAGATGCACCTGGTCAACATGCTCGTCTTGCCCAAGTCCCGCACCTCGTTGATGCTCAACCAGCGAAAGCAAATGACCTCCTATTTGGGCGAATGTTGTAGTCGTTTTCGGCATGAATATACCGAGGAGGATTGGAATCGGGATCTAGAGGCGGCTGCCTTCCTTAATGGTTCCTCCATCAAGGCCACTCGGCGCTCCAAGAATGTGCGTCGTCAGTGAAAGTGAAAGACCTCTTTATTTGCCTCAAAACGATTTGAGAAATTGTGCCTGTCATGTGCAGGGGATCGGGGTCTGGAATTTTTCGGGAAAAGCTTTTAGCTGGGACATCTTGTCTGCGTTGAGGGCTAAAACAAAAGCCGTGTTTTTCGACGGCTCAGTTTTCCCATTGCTATTCATCGTATGAGCTTTCTTTTGTGGCATCTCTCGAAAGGGTTAAGCGGGTTAAACCCCAGTTCTATCCCAGATGGTTCTTCGTCAAATTAGCTCTATCAAAACCAGTTCCATACACCAAAAGAACCATTTCACAAAGACAAACTGTTCAAATTGGGTGAATACATACTCTTTTTATAAAGCATTCTTAGATTAATGCCGACATTATTTGCATTTTAATAATATCTTGTACACACAAAATCAACAGTGTGTATTTTATTTTAAAAGTGATTGGTTGTATGAATATTATGCAGATATAAGTTTTAAACATTCGATACAATGAAGCTTTAACAAAAACAAGTCCATTATATTGTAAATATTATTTTTCTCAGTGTTAACCAAAACTTTTACCCATTTGACAGCAATTTCCCTGACATTGCATGTCGATCAGGCAAAAGTCCCGCATTCTCCCCCTGCCAACATTTGCCAATTTGGGCTTGAAAGTAATGATTTTTATTACTGCAGCGGCAACATTGAAAACTTCCCCCATCTGGAGTCACTTCGTCATGTTCGTGGTGCGGCGATAACCGCGGGCTCTTTGCATTTTGGCCAAATATTAGCACACAATTCGATTTTGCATGCCAACCTCCGCGAAAAGAGGGTCTCCAGGGGGACCAGTCAATTTCCACGAGTGCAAGTGGCGAGTTTTCCATGACACACCATGATCTCTCCACTGTCCTCCGGCAGCTGTGCGCTTTTCGCTTTCACCTGTTGGCCTGAGTTATGTAAAAATCCACTGTCAAATTAATGGTGATTTATATATGCGGCTTAATGGGCACTTGGCATGGGATGCGGGTACTCCGTTTACGGGGATCATGAGTGTGAATGCGCCGAATAGATTGGCCTTAAATTGTTGTTGCGCCGATCTATGGGTGAATTATTTTGTATAAACCTTGAAAGGGGAGCATATTATTTCGTTTATAATTTAAAATTTATCGGAGAAAGGTTAGATTAAGTTATCTTTGATAAAAAAGCAGATGAAAATGTTGAAAAGTATATAAAAACAATAGTAATTTAAATAGGATTACCAATTTTCTAAGTTTTCTATATTTCTTTGCAAGCTTTTAAAATGATTTTGAACTAAAAGTTGGAAATATGTTTGCAGTATTTTTGACTTAATGATTTCTGATGCTGCTTAGCGTTGCAAAACATTATAAAATGTTGTAAATTAACACAGAAAAAATGCTATTAAATTCCCTGGGAGTTGTGAGTGGTGGCTCTCCTCGTCGCCCAGAACCTGCTCTCAATAATTCCTTGTAATGCAAGGTCGGGACCACACTGAACAACACCAAACAAGTGGTCCCGCTTAATCCGTCGTTTAGCTGGACATCCGCGGAATGTTAAACCCATGCACTTAGCGATAATCCAAGTCAAACAAAATGACTACAAGTGGTAGGGGCTTGGGCTGCCGGAGCATGTCGGGGGCAATTACCTGGACCTGGAGTGTCCAGGAGTGACTGATGATGGGACCCAGACATCGTCGTCGCAGGCGTCGCGACAAAATGCCACCGCACTCAAATCCAAGATCCACGGACGCGTCTCGCGAGTGGTGACAATAAAAGTGCAAGGCAATTTGCGAATGCGTCTCTAATTGAGCCCACTGGGGGGACAATTGGTAGATAAACCATACACTGTGGGAAATTTGGATGAGGCATCTCTGGATGCAGCAAAAATGTAACCCTCTCAAGACTGGGTGAAAGGTTTTAAAAATAGGAATTACAGGTTAACATCACTACTAAACCATGCAAATCCCTTATTTGCACTAAAGTTGTGATAGAAATTATAAAGATTGGCTTCTAAACTCTCAATTAAGAAGAGTACCCACTCTCGAAGTTGTTAAAATTTAAACGATTAAATATTGTGTTATTTTGCAAAGCTCCCAAATTCCACACATTTAAATTAGCCTACAAAAATATTAATTTAGCGTGCCTGTGTTATTTTATTTGCATCTTTACCATATTAAACTATATCTGCAAACAAAATTGTATCTAATTTCTAATTTCATCATGATCTAACTTTATGATAACAACATAAAATTTAGTGTAGATGATTGACAAGAATTTTGAAAATTTATAGAAAGCTCTCCAGGTGCAGTTGCACATTGAAATAAGCATAAACATTTTTAGAAAGGAGTTCGAGATGTCAAGGCTTTGATTTAGTCAGAGCCATGAAGTCTCTGGTCTAATTTTATTTCTGCCTGCCAGGTGACAATCAGCTGGTATATTTTTACTCGAAATTATTTCTTTAATTTTGTGCACACATGAGCGGAAAAGTCGGGCTATACGGAAGGGGACGAGAGAGGGTGGACCTAGTGCGATCGGAATTTCATTTAGAAAGTTGCACTGGGAAGTCGATGTGGTGGTGGGGTTTAATTTGCATTTGCCAACTCTGAGCGACATTTGGCCAGCGGAGAAGATGGAGGGATGTGGGGCTGGGACTGAAACTGAAACTGAATCCGAAGCCCAGACAGGCGACATTCTTCTCCATTCACTTTTTTCTTGGGCCAAACAAAATGCCGTTTAGCCGCAATTGGGTCATTTAATAATACTCTTAATCGTAAAGAGGGGTCTCCCCCGCTCCTTGTTCACGATTTCCTATTCTAATTCTGTCAATCATCCGCTGCAACTGCTTTTTTTTCACTCAGTTGATCTCGTGCTCTATTTGATCTTGATTTTGATCTTTAACTTGTCTTGACGCATATTTGATTTTGCCACTACTCCATTTTCTCCGCCTTTTCTTTCCAGCGAAATGCTTTCTACTCCGCACTGATTGTCTTTGTCTCGACTGAAACGCTTGGCTTTAATGGCTTTTGATTGATTATCGCGTGCCATGGGTGCTCCGCAGTGCTCCGATCTCTGTGGGTGCTCTACAAACCCTCTCCAGCTCCATCTCCATCGCAAGATTCAGCTCCAGGTGGTGTCGCTTGGCCCACGATCGGATCTCTTCTTTTGTTGGCTTTCATTTGAAGTCTGCTTAATTAGCCCGATATGTGTGTGTCTGCCTTGTTGACTCCCTGCACGTGCTGGGATCTCCTCCTGCTCCACCTCCACCTCCATCCATATGCTATACAAAGTGATGTCAGTTCCTGGTAAAAAAAAAACACTTGGGCAGGCATGAGTGGGCACATCGAATCGATTGTAGAAGTTCAAAGTTGAAACTTGTTGTACAAGGTGGAGCAGATGGGGTAAACTACGTGACGCATAAGCCATAGGCGGTATAAAAGAAATTGCTTTCGACGAAATTATGCAAGAATATTTTGTATTTCATTAATATTAAGACGTTAAACAAATCTTACTCAAATATTAATTATAAAAATCCAACGCAAACAGTTTATATATTTCAGTTCATTTAAATTATAATAAGACATTCACTCTTTATAAAAACACCACTTAAACAAGCAAGACGATCGCATATTCATCATCAAATATCTGTGATATTCGTGTAAGCAAATACAACATTTTATACAATTTTCTCATTCGGCACGCAGTAAGGGATCACATCTATGTTATATAAGCAATAAGCGTAAAGATTGTACTTTAGCGGGCCGATAGAGAAAATTTAAAAATTAACTATTTTACAAAATTCAGTGTGGTTTATATTTGATGTTGAAGGTGGTGCGATTGTCACTTAAAATTTGTTTTTGTTTGTATTGCTAATTGGTATTTAAGCAACTTCCCACTGTATCTTGATTGACAAAAATTGAGAAAGATATCTTTTGTAACATAAGGAACGCAATTTATTTATTTTTTTGGTTTAAGTAAGCCAGTATTAAGCCGTTTTTTTTAGTAACGTCCACCGTGTCCGTGTTGGCCGCGTCCACCATGTCCTCCTTGTCCGAATTCTTGCTGGCCGTGTCCTCCTTGTCCGAATCCTTGCTGGCCGTGGCTTCCCTGTCCGAATCCTTGCTGGCCGTGGCTTCCCTGTCCGAATCCTTGCTGGCCGTGGCTTCCCTGTCCGAATCCTTGCTGGCCGTGGCTTCCCTGTCCGAATCCTTGCTGGCCGTGGCCTCCCTGTCCGTAGCCTTGCTGGCCGTGGCCTCCTTGTCCGTGGCCTTGTTGTCCGTATCCACCAGCAAAGACCACAGCGATCAAAGCGAAGAAGACAATCTATAAGGAATGAAGAAAGAGACAATCGTTAAGCCTTTGCTCCGCCAAAATTTTTGTTGAAGACTTCGAAAAACTTACGAAGAATTTCATTTTGGTTGATTGAATGTTTACACTGTCGAAAGCGTTCTAACTAATTCGACGTTGGGCGGCAGGCTTTTATAGCAAGATTGCAGCAAATGCCAACCAAAACAAAGTAATAAATTAAATGATTGTGTTTTTTAATGTTATTTCCAAATCAATCTACCCCAAGCGGCATTCGCTTTTCGTAATTAGATTAATCGTCTACGATGAGACATCACAATTTTTAACAGAACAAAGCTATATTCTAATCAGAAATGAAGACCTTGAGCCTGATCTTTATTTTTATTAATTTGTTTTCCATTTTTCGGCTTGTTGGCTACAATAAGAACAAAATTTATAAAATCGCATGTAATTTTACAACGGTATTGAATTGAAACCTTTTTTTTGATAATATAAGTCATTTCTTAAATTTTAGAAATTTTACCTTAGAATTTTTATTTAGTAAGGAATAAGAAAGAGAAAAATAAGTAATTGATTATAAAAAGGTATACTGTCTATTTAAAAAGGTTATTTTATTAACGGCGAGTCGCCATTGGCAACTTAAATCATTGGCGAATCAGGGCTACATTTTTTCCTAGTGTAAAATATATTTTATGTATTATAATGTTAACGACGTTGTTTTTAGTGTTGTTTCGAAAAGTCTCTCCTGCTCTCTGGGACTAATTCATTGGTCTTTGACCTGAGCAGCGTCTGCAAAGACAAATACTTTGGAAATTCCAAAATCGGAGGCTCACCACTCAGTAATCTCATTCTGGGTGAGGCTTTGACTCTTTAAACGTTTCAGCTACACAAAATAATTTGATAAGGCCTTTCTATATTGAAGCGCTGGCTGGAAATTAACGATCCCAAAAACATATTGAAACCGATGACTATTGTAAAAATGTTTATACATATATATGTATATATGGGCAGATCAATTCGAAATGAACTTAATCAGAATGCACTGCGCGAATATAATTTGAATATTAATACATATATATATGTAAATGGAAAACAATTTTTTTGTCACAAATTGAAAATCTTAAATGTTTTCTGTTGACGATCACACGTCTTGTGACTTTCATTTCTCGTTAAAGTTGATTTAAACTTATAATTACTAAAAAGCTTTCTGCTCCAACTTATTAAAATTAAATTTAAAGAACACAATAATACCTTTTTATCAATATATGTATGAATTTGTTTTTGTTCGCACAATCGTAGTAGATTTTTACTTCTGCGGATATATATAACAGTCACCTTTGAAGAAATCTTTGATATATACATCTAATTCCAAAATGCGATTCATTATCGTAACCCAGGTAATATTGCCAAATCAATAAATATTATTAATTGCACACTGAAAAGCAGCAAAAATCAACAAAAGGTTAATGCCTGAAGACTATTGTAAACCGAATTAATTTTCCATTAAAAAACTATAGATAATCTGGCTGCTATATAACTTTTTTTGCCTGCCTCAACTTTCCATTCATTATGAATGTAAGTTGACAATATTGGCCCGCAGTTCATCGATGGCTGCATCTCAATCGCGGCCATCAAATGACTCTGACTTTCCCGACTTGCCATCTCATCACAATAATGTCCTAGTCGGTGAAATCAAATCTCAGCGAATGTGCTGTCAAAATGTTATTCAACAGGAGAGTTGGATATATAAGGGGTTACCCAACTACCCACTACATATGTCAACACCATGAACTTGAAACCCACTGAAGACCCACTGGAACACGAAACTAAGGAGCAGAAGCTGAAACTAAAGTTTCAGTTGCCTCTAAAAGCATTTTGTATTCTAATTAGATTGTCAGCGGCACGACAACAACCTCATTTTGGCTCACAAAATGCCTTTTCACATTTGCATTAGCGCCAACGTGAGGAGAGAAGACAAAAATCTACATAAACTTTGGACAGTTGGTCGTTTGGAGTGCACTGAACTAAATAGATAAGAGGTTTTAATCAATATAAGAAAAATTGTAATGGAAAATGGCCCTTGTATACAAAATTTGAATCTTGTGATTTAAATTTTTTAAAGTGTTTCAAAATTGTAATAGTAGTTATGATATTTTCTTTTTTCATTTTTTATTAAATTTTAAATTCATTTATTGCGTTTTTAAATTATAAAAAAAACCTTTTTTTAACATAAAGCATTTTGACAAAAATATATATATTATATTTCAAATGCTTTACATAAATTGAATTAAATTTTTTTTTTTTATACCCAATGTAATTTAACAATTTTAAGTATGTTCTGCTATTTTGTTTAACTTTTTACCTCAGTGTGGTGGAAAAGGAGCTTGCAGTTTGAAGTTCATTAACATGCACAGGTTAATTACCGTTGTTGTTGGCCGCTCGAGGAAATGAGCCATTAGAGGAGGGGATTCCAAGAGACTCTGGAGCGCCGCAGTAGCCAAAAGCCGGCGATAAAACTGGCTAAAAGCATACATAAAAAGACACATGTTAAGTGTGTATGTTTGTGCCTGATTTTGCAGCGGGGGAAGGACTGTGACAAATGCCCAAGCTCGAGGAGGAGGACGTGGCTGTGGCCACTGCGCTTTCCTGGCCAACATGCAAAATGTTGCACTGATAAGAGACACAAAGCCAAGGAGTCATCCCGTTTGCAGTTTGCCGTTTGCAGTTGGCCAACTGCAGCGGTAAATGAGCATCCCGGGCACGATCATTAAAACAAAAGCGGCGGCCGAGGAGCCATCACTGACAAGCCATGACCAAGAGCAATGGCCAACAAAAAGCGGGGTGGACTGTTTATGGGGTTTTCGACTTTTAGATACCTGGTATTCACAGCTTGTTCCTTATTTTAATACAATTATTAGGGACCGTTTTCTCTTATTATTAGTATTATTTATATAGAAAGATATACAAAATCGCTAGACAATTTCTTAAAACGGCTTAAGCCAACATCATCCATAATCTCAAAGGATGATTTTCAGGTTTATTTATCCCGTGTTTATCTTATCTATATACCAAATATTAGCATAAACGAACAAATATTTCAGTCAGAATAGATGTAGATTATTTACTACTAAGTTATTCTATGTAATGTTCAAAATACCTAGTCGAAAAAATAATTAGTCACCAAAAAGTATGCAATACTTAATGATTAAGAACTAAGTGTTGGGGGATTTCATCCATGCAAAATATTATATATGATTACATGATTCCAACAAATTTTAATAAATGTATTTTGTTTTTCAATTTAAAAACCAATAGCTATTGAACAGATAGATTAAACATAGAACTAAGATATTTAGACAGATCAACGATTACTTTCAACTGCTTTTTTTATATTCTGCAAATTGTACATACTCTTTCGTGTCTGTTATTAAAGGGTATCCTAAATAAATACAACAGTAGAGCAGTAGGCAGCTACCAGGTTTTTGCCTTCTGGTGTTGGATTGCCTTAAACGATCCGCGTGAATAACTAATTTCAATGGAGTCTGTGCCGCTCGCCTCTCAACATTTATCACCCACCATCGGAGCAGGAGCCCCGAGACCGAGCCAGAAGCTACAGCTGGGCCGCAGGAGCCCTAATCCCAGAAGACAATGGGTCGGTTCATTTATTTTTTTCGCTCCTCGACCACTTTTTGTCCGCCAGCCCGCACTGACAATAAAAAGTTAGTGCCGGACTGCGTAGGACATTCTAAAAACGCATAGAGCCAGGGGATCGGTCTTAATGAGCAGAAATGAGACTTACAAAAAGGAGCTGCCTGCGAAGTGTGGTCGAGATAAGTTTCCTGAAAACCGCCAGGTACACATATCTAGGTGAAGAACAAGTGAGCCTGCGTTTTATGTAAAAGCGCGATGATCTACAAAAGTTGTTTGAACTGAGGATAAACAAAGATGATGCTGATAAGATTAATGGACTATTTTTTCAAGGGCTAAACTTTGTTTTATTAATAGACTAGTATTTGCATAGAGAAAGGCTTTGTGAAAAAGCCTTGATTAATATTTGTGTGTGTTTAAAGGTTAAAATATAAAAGGTGCGGTATTTAATAAATATATTTTTATTAGAATTTGTGATATATGTTAAATCATTTTCTTGCTTAACATAAATGTATAAATATAACGAAAAAAAAACAAAAATATAATAGGATGAGAACGTAATCAATAAAAACAAATGAGTACTGTCAATGACTTAACTCTTGTAAGTACCTTATCAATGGATAAGTAAAACTAATTTAATTGTATAGATCCAAGGCAGTAGGCCTGGTGAAATAGATGCTGGTCTTCTTGTCCGCCGTGAGAGCGACCAAAATATTTTCCGATTCACACTCCGAATTGTAGAGGTAGGCATCGGTGAATTTAGTGTTGGCATGGCCATGTTTTGTATATTGATGGGGAGCCTGGTTGACGGTGACGAGTTCGAAGGCCTCCCTGCAGGTGTCCTTATCCCGATAGTTCTCATTATAGTAGCCAAAGGGTATGAGGTTAGTCAGTTGCTCATGTGGAGTGGTGATCTCGCCAATCAAATGGCGGGTCACCTCATTGCTGGTCACACTGTCCAGATTCTCCTGGGGCTCTGATATATATCCCTTAAAGGTAGAACCCTCGATTTGCACATCCAGGAAGTATATGGCATTGCTGATCAGCGGGAAAGTGCCATTAAAGCACTTATACCCGATGCCCTCGCCTCCGAAGGTACTGCACTCGAAATTGTCACCCGGTCTCGCAGATGTTGCATCCCAAACGGAAAAAAGAACCGTGTATTTGGAGCTCTTTTCGTAGTTTTGCAAACCTATATATCCACTCGATTCGGCGGTGTAGAACTGCAGGAAATTATATACGCCATCGTTGCGCTGATTCGGGCTGGTCATCCACTGGAAAATGCTGCGCACTCCAATGAATCCCCTTTCCTGGTATTGGATTTCGGTCCTGGCGTTGCCCAGAACATCATTGAAACGCGGCGAGCCGGCACTAAACTGCTCCTGCCGAAGTACCCTCATGAACCTAGACATGTTCTCCTCCGCTTCCTGACGACTGGGATATTTGGCCAGGACTTCGGCCAGACAAAAAGCCAAAGCCAATTGAAAAACTAGAACAAATTTCGTAGATGCAGCCATTATGAACTTTGATTGATTTGTGACTGTTTGGCAGTTGATAAGTCCGCTTTATATATGAAAACTATTGAGTGTTTATTATTAATGTGATAAGTTGGCTAACACTTTTTGCATTGCGCATACCTCTTCAAGTGATAAAAGCCCACTCGATTGCCTATACTCCGAGGTAATCACGAATAAGGAGAGCAATCAGTAGTTTACATATGACTGTTACAAAACTCAAATGTAACTTAAATCAATTAAAAAACTTAATTTCTTCTTACCATTGACATTAAAAAATTTGTATCATTGTCCCCTCTTATGTTCTCTACTAATGTTAATTTGTTTTTCAATTGAGAGTAGCTAAAATGGGACAAATTAAACATCGTTGTATTATGCCAATAGCCACTGTAATATATAAATAATTGAAGCACTCAATCTTCCACTTGAAGTCCCATTTAATGAAAAGCCTTTTTGACTGATAAGGGTCAATTCAATATCCAATCGGTTGGCAGAGAATGGTTTAGGTATTTGCGATGATAGTTATGAAAGACCCAATTCCAGGGCAATAGCACTGGCACTCGAGTTGTTATTGACCCACAAACTGCAGGACTGAAAAATTCCACTCGGATCAAGGTCCGTAACCCGAAGTCAAGAGCAAAGCAGCAGAGTTCAAGTCATAACTCAGCGATCCTCCTCATCCTCATCCCGATCCCCTTTCCATCCCCGATCCCCGATCCTCAGCATCAGCATCAGTAGTCCGAGAACGTAGCACTAAATCAAGCCCACATGGAGTTCAGGCCATGCGACCAGCATCAGTTGTTCCCTCGCTTTTTGACAGTTTTGCGCACAGTAGCAGTTGTAGTTGAAGTGGAGGTGCCAGTCCCTAGACCAGAGAACAGTAGCAGAGTGCAGATGCACTCAGAGAAATTCCTTGGAATATTATCTCTTACGTTTGAAAAGCTCTACATGGCTAAAACTTAAACAAAGCGAACAATTGCCCATATAGCCTATTGTGTCATCTTCACGGCAAACTAAAAGTATGTTTTAAGCTGAGAAAATGTATAAAACTATAAAATACTTTTTAAAATTTTGTTTTAGTTTAAAAGCCACTTTTAGCTAGTCAAGAACGCCCAACTCTTTTTTTTACAATTACTATTAAAAACACAATTTAATTAAATGGCCACTTGTTGACCACCTGAAAAGTTAGCTTATTTCAAATTGCGTTTAACAATTCGAAAACAATTAATTAAACAGGAGCTTAATATTTGATACCATAAGCAGAGTTATGACTGATAAGAATAACCAATAAAGGATAATTCTAATAAATCTTTGCAAATCTGAGCCAGTGCTTAGTTTTCATTTAGCAAGTACCCTTACCAATATTCCATTCAAACAACTTTTCTACCAAAAAGAAGAGGTTCAAGGTTCTAAGGCTCTCTAACTTTTGGTGCAGCGTAGAAACCGCCGTCATCATGATGTTCACTGTGGCATGATAAACGCAAGCTGGGCAAAGTAAAGGCGCAGGCCTAACATGTGTTGCCTGTCGAAGATTCAGGCGGAACGCGACCCACAGTTTTGGCCAACTCTACGAGTGCCTGAATGGCTGCTCTTTTTTGTCCGCTTCGCTGGAACTGGCACAACCTTTCGGTGGCTCACATAAATTTTAAATATCCGCGAGAGATGCGCCTGCCAGGCTCGCAGGCTTCCTTATTTGGCAATGGCCAATGCAGTTTTTATCCATTTTTATTGACCCGAGGGAGGCGAACAGCCAGTGGCTCATTAGTTGATTCGGGGGCGCATCGGGGCGTATGAGTAATGCCCCGCAATTTGCACGCCTTGAAAGGATTAATTCGTTAACAATTTTTCGCCGCTGTAATATGCAAGACAAAACCAATAAATCTATTAATTAAGCCGACATTTGTTTAGCATCTGTTGCGATTTCCTTTTTCTCTGCACAATTTGATAAATATGCCCAGTTCAAGTCGAGAGTCTGGTCTCGGTTTCCGAATGAATTTGCTGAAATTTAAGACAGTGGGTGGTCCGGATTTGAAACGGTTTTTCGGCTGAATGAATCAACTGCCAGTACAGTGGTGCAGGGAAATCAAATTTCATACTTTTGAATTTTGAAATTAGTATTAATTTAATTTAACAAGAATAAGTTCATACACTCTTTTAGCTTATAGCAGAAATGTACTCTGCTCTGCAAGGGCATAAAAACCAACCTACCTTAAGAATTAATAATGTTATTTAACATAATAATAATTTCAAAAAGGTGGTAAAGAGCTACTTATTACTTTTTACTAATCGGTAAATAGTTTTTCGACATCGTTTTACTCATTTACATTTTAAAAATAAAATGTCGTATATGTTCATCACTTGCTTTATTATTTATTATAGTAGTTTTAAAAACATTAAGCTTATTTTAAGTAATCCTTTTGGGTGTATTATTTTAATTATTGTTTCTCTGCCATCTGCATAGTTTATATTGGTTACCCTGCATAGTAGGTTACTTCCACTGTGCTGGGCACAATAAACCAATTGCCGACAAGTAACAACCGACTGGGCAAAACTTCTGTGGCCGCTTGGTGTGTATAAATTTGCCAAATTAAAAAGCGTCAGCGACGGCGGGCCCAAGAAGGTTTTTTTTTTCTTATTTTGTTTATTATTGGGGGGCAGCTGGGAGGTGGTTTCGAGCCCGAGATCGAGAGTTGTGAGTCGCGAGCCACCCACCGCCGCCCCCAGATGACGCAACAGGGAGCCCGTCGCAGGCGTCTATAAATAAACCAACCGCCAGAGTAAATCAAAACAAGGCACGAACATGTGGCGCTTGCAGTTTTCCAGCCAGGATCAAGTGGGCCGACTGGAGAACTGGGATCTCGGATCTCGGATCTCGGGTGTGGTCGCCGCGGTGATATGTGCCCAGAATGGGATCGGATTGGCTCGGGATTTGGTGGATTTGTCATCCCCATCTGGGCCCATAAATTCGTTACGCATTTTCCTACCCAGCCAGCAGTTGCACACACAATGCGGTCGTAATGTTTTCGATCCTGCCTTTTGATCTGGCCCGTTGTCAACATCTTATTCCCGTCCTGACATGATTGATTTTTCATGTTACCGGCCAAAATGGCAGCCTCTCTGGGGTCAGTTGGGTACTTTCTAAAAAAATATTTCACTCAGGCACTGGCACACTCATCGCCATTGTAATGTGCACTGTAAAATCGTATTATTTTATTGGGTTTTCCTTACACATTTTATGTTTTTCAACTTCACAAATTATAAAACAAAACCATATGTATTTTATAATATTGTATTTTAATATTTTCATATTAAAAACTGTCATGAGCATTGACTAGTGCATCTTACTTAATTAATAAAGACATATATTCAGATCATTTATATTATGTAGTATTTTAATAAAAATATAAAAATGTAAAACAAACTTTAAATTTATGTTTAAAATACCCAGATATAAAATCTTTTAATAACAATCATAATTGGACTAAATATATTTTTCGGTGTGCAAAATATGCCAAATATTTTTGGGAAAACTAATGCCAACCGATGTAGACACTATGACGCTCTTGCATAGGTTTTTAGCCATATTTGGTTGCAAAATCCATATCCGTTCACACCTCCCACACTGGGGCAGTAACCATTACATCAACATCAAATTCTGGTGGCAGTAAAAGTGCCTTAAAACGTTTGTAATTGAAATTTATTGTGCCGCAAGTGTTGCACAAATTATTTTGTTTGATATGGCCGAGGGATAGATCGCAGATCGGAGATCCAAGAGTGTTTTGCCGCCATGGGCAAGAATCGTCGCTTAGTGGAGCAATCAATCGACTATATATGGCCGGGATACTGGGGAAAACACTTAGCCAAGACGATTTCATTTGGCTTTATGGCCGACCAAAATCGGCCATGTGAGAAAACTGTGCGGAAAACTGAGGCAGTTGGGAAAGAATTGGGCTGGGAAAAAGTTATTAATATGGGTCGATTGCCCCGGGGCAACCAACTACAGCCTCTTCTAGCCGCGGAGTTGGCTTCCAATTTTGGTAGCTTGATTTGTCACGATGCTTTTTTTTCTGGTTTCCTTGCGGTTCGGCTTTTTTTTGTTTTCTTATCTTTTTTGTGGCAACCGGGAGAAGACAAACAAATTGGTCTGTAGTTGAAAATTGACAAGAATTTCGTGACTTTGTCACCTCTTTTTTCCCTTTTTTTCGGAGTTTTTTTTTTGTATTTTTGCAGCCGTCGAGGAGATCTTACAACGCCCTCGAAGGCAGCAGGAGCTTTCTTTCCTTGTGGCCTCCGCTCGTTAAGTGGCAGGCAGCGCGTGCGCATTAAAGTCGCTCCACCGGCTTCAAGTTGCAGTCCCCCTTGGTCCACCCCCTCTCCCCTCCCCCTCAGAAAGAGCCTGCGCCCCCGCCCCTGGAAATCACTTCATCATCGGACATCGGGCCATTCTAAAGTCAAAGCTGCGACTGAAAAACTTTTGTCAGATTTATTTCTCGGTTCCGTTGGTGTTTCTTTTAACTGCTGCTGCTGGTGTTGTTGTTTCGGCCAAGTTGTATAGTGTACACTATTCCCATACTATGTGTTTAAGGGTCTTTTTTATTTTTTAGTTATTTAGTTTTTCTATTTCAATTATTTAAAATACTTAATTTAAATTTCCCTTTCAATTGTCCTATTTCAAATTTTTGTTGTTCTCAATCTTTTATACGTTTTTATAATAATAAAATGTCAGAATAGTTCAAAATTTTAGCCAGCTTTGTCATAAACTTTTAATTGTTTAAATAACTAAAACACTGCTTTTAAAAATACATACATTTATTACAATTATTAAAAATACATACATTTATTACAATTATTAAAAATACATACATTTATTATTATTGTTACTAAAAAGCTATTTTTATTGTAAGAGCATAAAAAGTACCACCATGGATACAATAACATTCCTGCTTACTTCATTTGGTTTATTGTGATTTTTATTTCTTATCCCTTTCTTCGTTTCGTTTGTTTTTTGTGTGGTTGGCTCTAC